CCGGTTCAAATTTATCTGTGTTCCTCTCTATTCTTTGCACACCTTTTATTTTTCTCATTTTCCTCTGGACCTGATCTTCAGGTTGAAGGCTTGACATTGTTGAAGCAGTACCTGACAGAGTTTTATTTCTTCCATTATTGTCAGGTCACAATTTCATGCCTAGGGAATATGGGGCCGCTGGGTGTACATACTAAGTTCTCAATTTCCCTAATATAATCATTCTTTGATTTATAATTATCACAGATAGTAACCGGTCTAACTTGAGCCATAGATATATATGGGATACTGTATAACTATAGTGTTTGCAATGATTGCAACAGTGAATTTATTTAAAACCACAAAATTTGTAATGTGTATTTTTTAATAAATAAAACAAGTAAAATATGTGTTCCTTTCAAATACATATTAAGTATTACTGTTAAAAGTGACTGCATATCACTTCTAACATATAAACATGTGACTATGTTGTAGCCATTGATAAGCTAGCCAAAGAAAAAGTCATACAAGTCTGTATTTATTCATGCATTTCTCCATTAATTTAGTATGTAGTTATTTAATACCTGCTATATTTAAAACACTGAGATGGGGCGCCTCGGTGGCTCAGTAGGTTAAGCGTCTGCCTTCGTCTCAGGTCCTGATCCTGGGGTCCTGGGATTAAGTCCTACATGTGTTCCCTGCTCAGAGAGGAGTCTGCTTCTTCCTCTCCCTCTGCCCCTCCCCCCACTTGTGCTCTCTCTCAAACAAATAAGTAAAATCTTTAAAAAATAAAAAAAAGGACTGAGATAAGGACTAAGAACAATGAATAGGACAGGCATAGTCCTTATTCTCAGTGGGTTTATATTTTAACCAGAGAGATAGACATTAAACACTAAACCAGGTATTATTTAATTATATTGTGAAAACTGCATCACAGTAGAACTACAAGGTACTCAAAGACTAGAGAACAAAGGTGCTGGCTAAACACTACATGGTGAGGGAAAACCTGCAGGAATTTGAGACTTAGTAAAATTAAGGAGGAAGAATTTGTGAAGAATGTTCTAGGCAAACAGAAGAGCTAAGCCTTAAGATAGGAAGGAAGAATGGTGGAACTGTAGAGTTAAAGGACATTAGAATCGGAATCTAGAGTGCTGATCATGGCACACAAGCCCATAGTCATCTCATTTAATAAATCTCTCCTCACCCCTGGAGTCATAAATACATAGGCAGTAAATTAAGCCATGTGATTGTTGGAATTATCCAGGATGACAAAGAAAACTGGGTCAATAACAAAACTTTGAGAAAGTCTTAACAGTCAGTGTTTAGGTAAAGAAGGTTAAACCAACAAAGGGGACTAAGAATGAGTAGTCAGAGGGGTAGTAGGGACACCAAAGCCAAGGAAAGGGAGTGACTAGACATGTCAAATGAAGGGTAAAGCAGGATAAAGTCTGACACACTGCTGGCCAGATCGAAGTTTTCAAACTGGGACAGATGCTGTGTAGAGAACAAAGGGAAATGAGCCTAGAAGACTGGTGTATATAGAGAAAGCAGAGGGGTCAGTGGAGCTCGGATTCCATTGAGATCCAAGAACTGTCCTCGTGGAAAAAGCAGTGTTGGAGATGGGAGCTTGGCTGAACTATAGACAATAAGTGATAGGAGATTAGGTGAGAGAGGAACACACTTAGTGATTTTGGAGATGGAAAAGGTTGTTATGACAGGTTTCAGGTGTGACTCTGGGAGTGAAAGTCTAAGGTAGAGAAATGGAAAGTTCATTTTAATAAAGAGATCCAGTCAGGGTGTTGAGTAGAATGTCTGTGTAGATGTGAACATCAACCAGGATCATGGGGCTGGAAGGGAAAACAACAATCCAGTCTTTTTATGAAGGATGGATTGTGACTAGAGGTTAGTAGATGGATGGTTCCAGCAAGAGGGGAGATGGAGCATAGCTATCTGGCAGAAATATCAAAGCAGCAGGGGTTTTTTTAGCAAGGAGGCAAAGGTGCAATGGACAGTACAATGGGCAAGAATATCATCAACCTGAGGGTGTTAGGGTGTGGAGGAATAAACAGCCATCTTTGTTTGCAGGAGAAGTGCTGTCCTCAGTGGAGAATGGAATTTTACTCAAGGTAGGGAGGTAGAAACAATGTTCTGAAACAAAGTTGGATATGTAGTGAAAATTGCAAACTACAGAGCAAAGTTCTGAAGGCACCGTGGAGGAATCTAAGGGATAAGAAAGAAGAGAGAGAAAGAGGAAGGGATTGATGCTTAATGGAAGGAAATTGGGCAGTGAAGAATGGAGCACTGTGGGGGAAATCAATACCTATGAATGGTTTGAAGAACCAGGGAACTGGAGGGAGGGGCTGACTATAAGTAAACAAGGTTGAGAGAATATGGCAGTGTCGGTAGCTTAAGAGACATCTACCCCCTTTACATTAGGACTCGGAACAGGAGCCTGGCTCTACCAAGTAAAGCTAAGGAGAGACTGGAAAACTTGACGTGGCTTGACTAGATAGAGGAGACCCCAGTGTGGGGCGTGCCTCTAGAAAAATGGGGTTCTTAATTAATGAAATGCTAATGTGTTCATAAAATGCCCAATCTGCCAGAGATTTGCACCAAGATGCACCAAGCCTGTGCAGTACTTGACCCATTAGGATCAAACAGTCAGCCTTGATCTGCTCAGCCTTTCATTTTATAGATTTCAGGTTTAAGAACTTTATTTAAATTCTGTGTTTCTTCTTTGAAGTCTGGGATATATTATAATACACGTAGTTTTCATGACCTTACATTTAGTCATCTAATAATTTGACATAATAATATATTTTCCAAACGCACCTAACATCAAAATCAGGAAAGTACTTAAGTGCTGGTTGAATCTGCTTCTTTTCAAAGCTATGTGCTAAGACAAACTATGTGGCAGGCCTGACAGTAAATTTAAAAATTCAAACTGAGTGATGGACTTACATTTTTGTTGACGGTGGAGAGTCAAATATAAGCAGGTGTAGTGGTTTTGTTTTTGGTCAATACCAACATTCAAACTCTGATCTTTTGAGTTGTCCTCTGTAGTATCACCTGGATCCCATCTTTTGTTATTAGAGAAGGAATTTGAGAATTATCTACAAATGACTTACCACACTCTGTTTTTTAAAACATTTTATTTATTTGTGACAGAGAGAGAGAGAGAGAGCACAAGCAGGGGGAGCAGCAGGCAGAGGGAGAGGCAGTTTCCCGGCCGAGCAAGGAGCCCGATGCGGGGCTCGATCCCAGGACCCTGAGATCATGACCTGAGCCGAAGGCAGACGCTTAACTGACTGAGGCACCCAGGCCTCCCTCACACTCTAGTTTAATTCTCCACTTAAACAATTTAAGAAATTATGTTTGAACAATTTAAAGTCTGAGACTATGTCATATTTACATTTGTATTCTCATACTATACCCAGTATCTGGGATTCTATAGAATTCTAACGGCTCTTGGAGATATCATTTATTTATTGCCACACAATGCTGCATACTTACCAGAAAAACTTAGTGCATATAGCTAAAACCACATTTATTTAGTCCATGCAGCTGTGGACTTCAGCTGACCTGACTTAGTTTCAACTGATCTAGGCTGGGTTCACCCACATGTCTCGGCTTCTACCGGCTGTTGGTTGTCTCAGCTCTGATGACTAGGGTAACCTGACCTTATTCTCTGTCCTGCTCAACCTCCAGCAGGCTAGTCTAGGCATGGCATAGTAAAAGGACAAGAATGACCGAAGTTAATTGTGCAAATATCTTTCAAGTCTCTGTCTGTTTCACATGTGCCAATATTCTATTAATCCGGAAGAAGTCACATCATGACTCAAAAGTCAGAGTAGGAGGGCATGGCAAAATTACATGGAAAGGACATGAGACAGAGAGAGGTGAAGAATTGGGGCCATCAGTGCAATCAGTCCACCACATTGAATGGATAAATGAACAAATAGATTATAGAGTGGCAGGAAGAGCACTGGACTAAGGGTTGGGAGACGTATCCCTGAGGCTCAGCACCATTCATTCTGTTTATTTGGGTCAATTATTTAGTTATGATGGACTATAATTTCCTTATTGGCCCTTTACAAGCTTTAAAAGCCTTTGATTCAAGCTTTTAATGAAGCTTTTAATAAATTTAATGCTGTACACAGTCTGTAGGAGGAACTTAAGGAAAATGATTCATCATCCTATCCTTTAGGGAACCAAAATGGTTAATGTGGATGGCCAAAGTTGACTGGCTAACTTTGACTGTATGAATCTTTGAATATTATGTAACCATATTTAAACTGAAAAATTTCTAGTCTGAATTTGGATATGAAGAAAGTTCAATTTTCCACTTAGGTCTTTAGTTTTTGCTCCTCTCTGATGATTCTTTTGAAGTGTACAATATGACAGTATAACATCAAGCACTATGACATCTCTCATATGGGAGATGTGTTTTAAGGTCCATTGACGTTGTGCCTTAATAATTCATTGTTAGGATGAATATTATTCTTAAACTGACTGGAGGAGCTTTGTTAAGTTTGCATAATGCTGATAAAAATGTGAGTTAATTTAGAGTAGATGTTATGATTTGTTTTATAAAAAGCCTACAGATAATGTAGAAATGAAATCTCCTCTTCATTATACAATGTGCAATTATGTGATATATAATGAAATGCTGGATAATTTAACTATAAGAATAAAAACTGAGTGAAAATGTTTTAAATGAAAAACATAAGTTTCACAAGAAGAAAATGATATACTCAAATGGGATTTGAAGATGATTTTCTGAGTCTGAGAGGACTTATTCTGGTCACTTAGATCATTTCAAAAATTCCATGCCTAGATTACCAAAATATATTGATGAAAGTGTAATTTGTAAGTCACTTTGACATATAGAATGTTCTGATTCAGATATACAAACATAACTTGCCATATGATGAATGTTTATCCTTGTCATATCTCTAGGAAGCATTTATTTTGGACTGATAATTTACTTGTGAAATCAATCACTCTGGCCTGTGTCATTTCAGAGTCTCCATGTAGACATATCCAAGACACTGCACTCAAATCAAGCTGGCCTGGATTCAAAAGTACCAGTTGGTTGTCAAAGTGATTTGGCCGAATTGGAGAAAGAGAGAAGCAAGAGTGGGGCAACTCAACTAGCAGCCACCAGTGTAACCACAGGTCGGTGAAGCCGCACGATACTGGTTTTAATTGTCTACGTGCCACATGCCTAACTTACAGATTCTAACTTCCACTTTGCTTGGAATATAAGGCTCTATCAATGTGACTGCCTCAACTGCAAATCTCATGGAAATGTTTTAGGGGTGCCTGGGTGGCTCAGTCAGTTAAGTTAGGCCGACTCTTGATTTTGGCTCAGGTCATGATCTTGGGGTGCTGGAATTGAGCCCAGCGGCAGGCTCCACGCTCAGTGGGGAGTCTGCTTCAAGATTCTTTCTCCCTCTGCCCCCCACCCTGCTGCGTATCCTCTCTCTCTCTCTCTCAAAGAAATAAATCTTAAAAAAAAAAGAAACGTAGTTTTAAGTGCAGTGTAATATTAAACACAATAATGATAGGTCTGTTCATTTTTCCTTTTTATTAGAGTTTTCATTTATGGTTTTCATGGCCAAGAAGTGTTTAATATTGCTTATATTATCATGACAATAATGTTTTTAAATTTTTGCTAGCATTAACAAAAGGAATAATGGCTTGAGAAGAGATTATAGTAATTGAGATGTCTTTAAAGATGTGTCAGATATTTATACAATGGAATATTATGCAGCCATCAAAAGGAATGAAATCTTGCCATTTGCAATGACGTGGATGGAACTGGAGAGTGTTATGTTGAGTGAAATAAGTCAATCAGAGAAAGACATGTATCATATGACCTCACTGATATGAGGAATTCTTAAT